TCAAATGATGTGTTTCAAGAGATAAGTAATCAGCCAGCCAAGTACAAAATGTACTTTAAGGCGTGCTTGAAACTGAGAAAGTCACAGTTGTTTTAAAATAAGTAAATAGATACAATTAAATGACGTTAAATATCAAACGCTAATTTGAGTTTCTGGCATCGGAGCCAATGCCTCCTCCACAAGAGTGGGTGGTGAGTGACAAATACTCCCGAAGTGGATTATCAGCAGCCTTCAGAGTTTGGGGTGTCTTCAGGCATCCCTGGGAACAGTGGCTGGTGAGTCAGAGTTTCCCGAGGAGAAAAACACTCCCCAGGGAGGGAATTCACTATGATGTCCCCCTGCGTGTCATAGGGGCACAACAAATACCTAATGCTTCGTGGTTTTGTGTTTGCTTTCGACAAAGCTAAGCAGTCCACAATGCAGATAGGTGATGATGTGCTGCGGTAACAAATCAATCCTGAACTCTCAGTGATTTAGGGTTTCAGAACGGCTTATGGCCAGCTCACATGAAGTCGTGTACCACGGGCCCGGTGACTCTTCAAAGCAGTGTCCTCTGTATCATCGAGTCGGGTCGCTGACGAATTCAGCATCCTGCTTACCACTGTCCTCTTCCTTCCTCAGGGTATTTCTGGAATCAAATCGGATTTAGTCTCCCAAGGCTGTGCTGCTTCTGGTACAAGCCGGTACCCAAATCCAAGGGTTTATCTGGAACGTCCAGACATCTGGGACGTCAGAGACTGCAAAACGGGACCTTCCCAGTTAGCGCAGATGGCTGGTAAGCCTGTGGTCCCATGGACCGTGTTCAGGTACGAGATCAGTCCCGATTAAGCCAAGTTCGTTTCTTTTATGAACTTCTCATGTTTCTTGGCATACTCGAAAAGTGCAATAAAAATGAAAGAGCGCTCAGCGATGTTGGTGCATCTCTGTGGTCCTACTGTTGCGTGGTAATATCATTAATTATGAACGGCTCCCACAGGGCCTTGCGTTTCAAGGGAGTGGAAATTGAATACGAAGTCTTTCATTCTTGTTTCCACTCCAACTCAAGTCATTAGTTCCCCAGCACTAATCACCCCCCCCCGCCCCCGCGCCCCTGCATCCTCGCCCACTCCCAGAATTTTGCTGGCAAGACGGAAGGCTACACCTTCACGTAATTCGGTGGTGTTCCTCCAGATCCCACGGGGGGGGGGGGGGGCTTCCTATTTTAAGAAGTGGCTTAGTCCAAAATAGCCACTCACTTCTCCAAGCGCCAGTCAGCACAACAGAGCCACGCTGGGACAGATACCTAGGAGAAAGTGCTTTCCTCTGCCAGAGGAGCCGCTTTGGGGTCCTTGAGAAGCTCCTGGTTTCTTCTCGTCCTGGCCTGCAGGGCAGCCCCTGTCCTGAAGGTGGCAGAGCGCGAGCAGCCGGGCGCCGCCGCCTCGGGACCCGGGGTCCCGCGAAAGCCTTGCCCGCCCCCCAGACCCTGGAATAGAAGGAAACGCTCCACCCGAGGAAGTAAAGCGTGCGCCCGACCCCGACGGAGAGGGAAGCATAGGGGGAAGGAGACGAGCTTCAAGGGCGAGGGCCAGCAGTGACAGCAATGCTCCGTCGGGCTGATGGAGGCGGAGGGGGCCAAGGGGGTGGGGAAAGCAAGTGCGGGGCCCTCTGCTGTGCACGCAGCACCCACGGGGGCCGCATCACAGCTGTGCCCAGGTAGGACCTGCCCTGGAGGAGGTGGGGGGCACAGAGGAGGCTGCCCCACTGTAATGCCTCCCGGAGAATCCCTGCCTGGGCTTCCGACTCCCTTCCGACTGCGGGAGACCTCGGGGCTGGCTGTTCTGCGTTCTCACCGGGCCCACCGAGCTAGCGGCGTCCAAAGATACAGATTTCACAGCAAGGTAAAGGAGATGGATGCCTCTTCCTCTGTGAAGCCTTCCCTGATTTCCCCTTTCCTGGCTCTCATACCATCGCGCTGTGTTTTCACGTGTCGGCCTCTCCCACCGGGACTGTATCTTGCTCCCTGTTATCTTCTCGGCGCTCCCCCCTCCCCATGGCGCCTGGAACGTGGTAAGAGATTAACAGTTAATTCAGTGGACAAATGAATGAAAGGAACAGTTATTTCACATAAAAAGGCAATGCTGGGCGTGATATTGTTCAACAAGACTGGAACCCATGTGTATGGTTTGTCCCTGTTGAGTGTATTCAGCCCTCCGGGACACCGTGCCACAGAGGATAGGTGTGCTTGGCACATACAGATCATTCTATTTGCTTCCATGACATCTCCGACCACACAGTGTTCTTTACTTAATCCTGTGAATCCCTTTACGTGTTCATTCTTTAAGTTAACATGAATCCTCATGAACCATTACTGAGTTTCGCAAACCGTGCATCTGTCTCGGGATTATTTGTAAGGGCTGGACGGCATCCCTGGGAAGCTGCTGGAACAGCTGGAACAGGTGCAGGAGCAGCTCTGGAGGCCAGAGTTCAGGCCAGAGTGACTTCTGCTGTGACTCCCGACAGCCGGGTTGTGAAGGGCTCAGGTGCCGGGATCCCTGGCAGATAAACGAATCTCAATTTAGGTAATATTTCTTTTTTTTTTTTAAGTTTATTTATTTATCTTGACAGAGAGACAGAGAGAGCGAGCAGGGGAGGGACAGAGAGAGAGAGAGGGAGAGAGAATTCCAAGCAGGCTCCGCACTGCCAGCACAGGGCCCGGTGCGGGGCTCGAACTCACAGACCAAGAGTTCGTGACCTGAGCTGAAACCAAGAGTCGGATGCTTAACTGACTGAGTCTCCCAGGTGCCCCTCAATGTAGATAATATTTGTAAAATAACTTAGCGGGGTCTTATGGATGACAGACAATGGCGACAGAGCCTAGAATCAGTACATGGTCATTTTCATTTCCAAGGAAACTTAGAACGCTGATTTATTCACTCCAAGTGACCCCTTCTCTGCGGACAGTTTAGAGTTTAGTCCCTGGGAATGGAAATCGTGTAACTTTCTTTCATCTTTCAATTCCTTTTTCTTTACTTTTTAAGTAACTGGCTCAAATTGATCATCTTCTTTTTAAAGTGTGTTAACGTCTATTTATTTTTGAGAGACAGAGACAGAGACAGAGTAGGAGTGGGGGAGGAGCAGAGAGAGAGGGAGACACAGAATCCGAAGCAGGCTCCAGGCTCCGAGCTGTCAGCACAGAGCCCGATGCGGGGCTCGAACCCACGAACCAGGAGATCGTGACCTGAGCCGAAGTCAGATGCTTAACCGACTGAGCCACCCAGGCGTCCCTCAAATTAACCATCTTTAAGAGACGAAGGGTAAATGAAGAGTCTGGTGCCTCATAGAAGTCTTACCGGCTAGAAACCCGATAGAGTGGATCGAGCTGGCCAGACCAGGTTCAGCCTCTACAACTATATGCTGAGTGACCGAGTCTCCCAAACACCTGCTTAGCCCCTGGGCTCCTCCAAGTGGCTCTGTCCCTCCCCTCCCCTCCTCCGTGCTTGTGTCTGTGTTCTCTGGCGCTTGGTCCATGAGTCCTCACTACTGTTCCTTCACCAAAAGGTCACAACCCGCAGCGCTGGTTGACTGACCATGGCCCACAGTCATAATTTCTTTGGCTCGCTTAGCAGTGTTAAAAATTTGCATTAGGTGCTGACATTTTCAAGTGGGGAGACCTCGCATTTAAAAAAAAAAAATTCTAGATTTCCGTCTTCTCTTTAAAACTCGGAAGGTGCAACCCTGGGCAACACCGTATGGCCGCACTGAGCTCAGATAAGATTGAATGACCCTCTAATAACATCGGTCATAGTGGTAGTGGTGACAGCTAATGCTTTTTATTGTTAAGTTTATTTATTTTCAGAGAGACAGAGAGAGCGAGGGTGGGGGAGGGGCAGAGAGAGCGGGGGACCGAGAATCCCAAGCAGGCTCCATCCTGCCAGCCTGGCGTGGGGCTCAAACTGAAGAATTCGTGACCTGCCTGCACTATGGGCCACACCCTGTCTTAAGTGCTTTGCATGTATTGTCATCGAATCCTCACCTCAATGCTGGGGGGGGGGGAGGGGAAACTATAGTTATCTATCTCATTATCTTTAGTGAGGAAAACAAGGCACAGCGAGGTCAAGTAACTTGCCTCAAGCCACATAGCTTTAACTGGCAGATCCAAGATTTGAACCAACCAGCCAGGCTCCAAAGTCTGAATCGTTAAGTCTAATAAGTAGTCTCCCAGAAGATGCTGGCCAGGAAGGGACCGGTGTAGGCATACGGATGGTTAGATGTGAAAGTTATCGCAATTAATGCGTAGTGATTAAAGATCGTTTGGGCCCTAGAGTCAGATTGCTTCCGTTAGAACCTGGGCTCTGCCACTGGGAGAATGTAGGCCACCTGGTTAATATTTGTACGCTTTAGTCTCATCTGTAGAAAGGGAAAGTAGCGGCATCTCCATGGATTCATTGTACTTTACAGAATTGAGGTACTAGGTTTCTTTTTTTTTTTTAATGTCTTCTAAAAAATGTTTTTGAATGTTGATTTATTTTGGGGGGGGGGGGGGCTGAGTGCAAATGGGGGAGGGGCGGGGGGGGGGGACACAGAATTCGAAGCAGGCTCCAGGCTCTGCACTGACAGCACAGAGCCCGATGCGGGGCTTGAACCCATGACCTGAGCCGAAGTGGGATGCTTAGCGGACTGAGCCACCCAGGCGCCCCCTCGAGTTCTCATCATAGGTAAGTGCTGACACCTAGTAAGTGCTTAATTAATGCCCACTATTATTACTTTATGTGGGTAGCTCTTATAACGAAGAATTTCATCTGTGTTGGATTAAGAGAAGGCTTCAGCATCGAGCACCTTCTCCAGTTTCTAACATTTTGCATTTTGTCATTTAAAAGAAATGTTTACAGACGAAAGTAATGTGCTCCGTGTCTAGGAAATAGCATTCAAGTACGATTTAGCTGGAAAGCATCATTCTATAAAACAAAACTAACTTTGAAAAAAAATAAAACCAACTTCTAACTTTAGTGTCCTTCAGCAAGTGTTTATTGAGCATCCAGAATGTTCCATTCATCATCGCATCGCTAATGCTTCAGCCGGGCTCTTGGTAGGGATGCAATAAAGATTTGTAAACTGCGTAAAAGATAAAAGCGAGAAGTTGACAAAACTTTGTTGGTTCTTCTAAAAGGTAAGAAACCAGAAAAAAAAAAAGTTCTGAGAATCACTTCACGTAGAGTACGCAAGCAGACAAACATACGAAATGTAATCAAAGAAATTTTTCTTGCTAGGATCAGAATACATTAATACTAATGAAAACAGAACCCAGACCCCTTCTGACATATTTTATACTGTTTAAAGATAAACATTTGTGCACTGCAAGCCACAAATGGATTTAAACTCCAATGAGGACTTTATAAGCCATCTGCTAGTCTCCTAATGAGGTTAGTAACTATCATTGTTTACATCTAGGCACCAGGGGTCATGGATATTTGTTGTAATGAAAACTGCAATGCATCACTGCAGAATCTGAGAGTCTTTCTTCGCAAGGGCTAATTACAAATATAATAAGACAACATTAAAAAAAAAAAACTCTTGGAGTCCGCAGAGAAACCTAATTTGGCACAACAAATACCAACCGTAGTTCCCGCTCTGTTTTCATTTCACGAATTCTGATTACAGAAGCCAAATCATATTTAACTACTAACAATACAAGGCCTTCAGTGGGTCCTTTGCTTCAGATCACTCAATCACAAGATGCTTCGTGAACCATCTGGATCCGGAAGACGTTTGCTCTGACACTCGAGCATAAAGTGTGCAAATGCTCAGCAAGACCCACAGGTTATTTTGGAGGAGGGTGTGTTTTTAATAAGGTGCTACTTTGAACTGGTGCCCAAACTGAACTTGCCGATTTGTCAGTTCAGCTGGGGTGGGGGTTGCGGGAGGGAGCATGTGAAAAATTCTTGAGGATCATAGAAAAAAGAATCTGATTGGCTGACTGAATTTTTACCTTCCAGTTGGCAGTCTGAGCATCCCAGAAATGTAGTCTGAATCATAATTGCCTTGATCTGCGTATTGTGGCAGTGTTTCCACAGTCCCCTGGAAAAAAAAATAGCCTGTTGCATTGATTGGTGATATCCACTTGAGCGCATTATTCTCAGCATCCCAGAAAATGGGAGGAGAGTCTAAGAAAATGTAGACTCTCAGTACGAAGGGTTCTTATAAAATGTTTCATATTGATAGCACTATCTGAACCTGAGATGTCAAAAATGAGATAATGTTTTTGATCTCACTTAAATTGCCTGTTAATGGTAATAATAAGACCACAGGAATAAACATACCTTGTCTTTGTAGAGTGTTTCTCATATATTCCGAAGCCTTGTGAATAAAACACAAAACCAAACAAAATCAAAACGCAAACAACAACAACAACAACAAAACCCCACTAAGTAATGCATGTATCCCCTTGGGAGAGAATAAAGTTTGCCAGTAATGTTTTTAAAATACAGAAATTGGGTGGATCCCACACTACCAAATATCAAAACATATTAAGCTTTGATGAGGTTGTATGGTCCAGGTACAAGAATAGAATGAGGAACTGAACAGAAAGTGAAGATCCACAGGCAGGGCTGTTATGAATGGAGTCCAGGAAAATTGTGCCGAAGGTATTTAAGAAAGTGTATGTGGTATTTGAAGTAAGTGGAGAAAATCTGGGTGGCTCACTTGGTTAAGTGTCTGACTCTTGGTTTCTGCTGAGGTCACGATCTCGCGGTTCAGGAGTTCAAGCCCCCCGTCGGGCTCTGTGCTGACAGCTCAGAGCCTGGAACCTGCTTCAGATTCTGTGTCTCCCTCTCTCTCTGCCCCTCCGCGCTCGCGCGCTCTCTCTCTCTCTGTCTCTTTCTCAAAAATAAATAAACATTGAAAAAATACTTAAAAAATTTAAATAAGTGGAGAAAATAAAAATTATTTCATCAATCACACCAAGATAAGAAGGTAATTTTGGGGGGCATGGGGGGCATCCTTCATATCTCTCATATGCCAAAACAAAGTCCACAAAATTAAGAATTACATGTAAAAAATGAAACTATGAAAAAAATCTTTTAAAAAATGTAGGCAGATATTATTATATTGTATTGTATTATATTATATTATATTATATTATATTATATTATATTATATTATATTATTAATATAATCTCTGGGATATAAAAAGCAGAAACTACAAAGCTTTGTGGTTCACAGACCACAGATCGTCCCTAGCAGACTATCAAGCAGCTCGCAGGAATCTGCAGAGGAGAAGCTATAAACCGATTTTGTTCATATAGATGTCATAAATTTTAAATGTGAGACAAACTGTGATTTTCACAGAAATGCCAATAAATTACTAAAAGGATTATGGGTTTAGGGGAGCCTGGGTGGCTCAGTCGGTTGGGCTGCCGACTTCGGCTCAGGTCACGATCTCGCGGTCCGTGAGTTCGAGCCCCACGTCGGGCTCTGTGCTGACAGCTCGGAGCCTGGAGCCTGTTTCGGATTCTGTGTCTCCCTCTCCCTCTGACCCTCCCCCGTTCATGCTCTGTCTCTCTCTGTCTCAAAAATAAATAAACGTTAAAAAAAAAAAAAGATTATGGGTTTAGAGGTTGCACATAAGCTGTAAGGTGTGTTGACCATTTTGGAGGGAACGCCGTCCAGTAAATAGAAGCTACTACCTTCTGGCTTATGTGCTTCCAAATCATTCACGTGGTACCGCTTGTTAAATTAAACGTGCCTTTTTAGTTTTACCCTCACGTTGCATTGTAGCTCCATTTCACAAAAGTGGATTAGTGGCTCAGAATGGTTTATTGAAGGACAAAAACCACAATGAAATAATAACACGCAGACGAAGACTCAGAGCAGCGTCATCTATCTATGTAGAGCACAGGATTGCCGTGTAAACCGAGAATGTGGATTTGTGCGTGCTGGGACAGGTGCGTCTGTGAAGGTGCTGATTTCACATAAGCTTTGGAAAAGAAAAGTGTGCATAATAACGTAGGCTTCTGATATCTGAACATGGAATTTTCGTTCCACTCATAATCCAGGCACTTCGTCCCTAGTGCACTGCCTGCATTGAAATTTTGTCACACAATGACATGAAGCCATCACATTTTTTGCATCGTTTTCAATCCGGTCGGTGACCTTTCTAGCATCCATACAAGGGTTGCCGGGAGCAAGGCGAAATACTGCTTTATAAGTAGGAAGCTGATCGGTGTCATCCCTAATGGCAAAGAAGAGGCAGTGATGGTACCAGGTGTCGGTGACACAACCGATAAGAAACGTCAAACCAGCCCCGGAGTCAATGGCAATATTATGCTTACGGGGAAGATAGAACAGTTCTTGGCAAAATGCCTCTGTCCAAGGCCACTGGTGGACATCATATCAGATCAGTGGCAAAGTGAGAAAGTTATTACCATGTCTGCCTCCTGGTGGAGATTTCTCCCTTTCCTGCTGGGCAAGAGCTCTGAGAAACAGAGCATGAGTCTGCTCCTATATGCACAGGACAAGCGCGGGAAAGACATTCTTTGTGGCTTTTGACTCTATGTAACCTCCGAAAACCCTCACTCCATAAACTGGTACTTTCTTGTTTAGTTAGTGATTATTTAACCAATTAAGTGACAACGTAGTTAATTTGTCCACCGCTTATTCATGGGGAACGGTTGCTGGACAAAAAGATGCCCCTTGACCTTGGTTACTAAGTGTTGAAGAAAATAGCGAAATAGGTAAATATCCAATTACCAGCCCTACGCATACACTGTGTGAAGAAAATGACAATGAGTGTAGACTGCTTTTCCACACTGAGGTATGCTGGTGATTTCAGGGAAAGAGGATCACACAAGACTTCAAAGTCTTTAGACAATTTCTGTAACCTCAGTCATACCTTGAACAACCATTTTATAATTTTCAGTGACTCGTTACCAGCGATCTAATAGGAATATATTTGCTACCGTCTCCCAAGTTGAAAATCTCAGTCTTACACGGCTTTGACCGTGACGGACTGTTGTGTTAGCATCTCACAGAATAGTCAACATAGACCAGCTAAGAAGCTTGTCATATTTTCTAGGTTTTTATTCTATCTTGATATGCAGAACTAGCTGACAAACCATCAACTACTCACTGCCATTCCTGAAAACCTGAAACTTATTCAGAGCAAACTAGAGGGGGAACATAACACAGTTCTGGGGCAAGACGATGAAGGCACCGTCTACTGTAAGTATGAGAAACGGCCCTTCTTCCTGGTGGGCAATGAAAGAACATACTTTCCAGATCAGCAGCTGCATACCATATAGCCATTCTGAGCTCATCTGTCCTAGTAAACGTACCACATCCAGAATGGCAGCTAGGACTGGGGCATTACATGCTAAGTCTGTGCTAGTCCACGGTCATCTGCCATGACCCACCCAGATTTTGCAGGGCCAGACTGGTGAATTCAGTGGGGTTCTAATGAGGGCACCATTTTGAGTTACTTGGTCAGACTTTGACTTATTTGAGTCTTTGACGGTGGCTACAGTCTCTGCTATCCCTCTGACATGATCTAGTTACCGTCATGTTTGGAAGGGGTAGTTTTGAGAGCTTCCCCTTGGTCTTTCCTTCTATGGTGGTTCCTGTTCCACTACCTATTCCATAGGTAGTTCCTATGCCAAGTGTGATCAACCCCATTATGTGCCCTGGAACTAGGGCACAGAATAGAGGTGAGCAGGTGGGCGGGATACGTGGACTCAATGTGCCATAGGCTTTATTTTCTGACATCCACACTGCTGGGCTCTCACAGAGAGGCCGCAATGGCATTTGGCTCCCTGACTATCAGTGTCAACCCCGATGCTGTTCCCAAGAGCCCCGGAAGGACCCGGACATCCCCCTCTTTCTAGCAAATGGCACATGCATACACGGCCAGAGTTTCTTCTGGGATGCCCTGGGGGAATTCGTACTACAGAGCCTGTGCGGGAGATGCTGTATAGACAGGGCCTTCCTGCTGGGGACCTGGCCTCGCCTTCAGTCAGTGAGCTCTGCGTTGAGAATCAACTTAGATCTTGAAGTAGGGCAAGAGGTTCTAACTTTCCATTGAAAGACGGCTGACTTTGGCCTCCCGATCGTCTAAGCTTGGTCTCTTTTTAAAGCTTAAGACAGCACTAAGATTTTTAGTATCTTAAGCGGGACCCATGTATCTTGCTTCTAGAAACACCGTGTTCTGTGAGCCACAACAGACTCCCCGCAGACTCTGCCACAGACCCCGTTACAGACTACCCTCTGTGGAACCCTCCAGTCCAGCTCTTGTTACACACGTACTGTCCTTACAGCGATCATGCCATCTAGCCCCTGACAATTAAGTTCTGCCCCTGCTACTGTGGAGAGCCCATCACCCTTATTGCTACCAGAGAGGACAGTTCTCTAACTGCATCTCCTACGTCAGCCCTGGCCTGTGGAAGACAGCCGCCACTGAGTTCTTCAGTGACGCCGGTGCCCCTCACCGGTGCACGTCTTATCACCTTCAGAAACGAAGGGTCCCCTCACGGAACGCAGTCAGCTGATCTCATGTAGGACACCTACCCTAGCAAGCCCCCCTTGCTTGGTCTTTGATTCTTTGCCCCAGAGCCGGCCAGGACCCTTCTGTCATCGTTGTTCATCTCGCATAGGCCAACACTTTCTCCAAGTTTCTAAGAGTCACCCAAGCAGGATATTAGACCCAACTCCTGGGGCCTTTGCCAGGGAGTTAAATCCGGAGGGATGGGGGAGTGCTCCCACACTGACCAACTGCCCCCTTCACCGGCTGTATGTTCCACCCCCGCGACCCAGCTGCTCACAGTTCACTCCCAGGCGGACTCACAGGTTCCTGCCAGGACGTGTCAGCCAGGCTCTACGGCTACTTTGCTATGGAACCCCTGCTTCCCTTCGCAGGCTTCGCTGTCCCCAGTCACGTCGTGCTGGTTTTTGGCTCTAATTATGGGTCTGGGGGCCAAGAACAGAGGTGCAGGCAGATCCTGGGGAAGCCAAGCTATTTCTCAGAAGGCACTGTCTTACCACGTCGTCTTCAGGCCGAGGGGACCCACTGTCTTCCAACCAGGCAGTGGGGGCCACGTCTGCCATCCTGCAGCTTTCAGGGGACTATCACTGTTTAAAGTTTTCGAGCACGTGTACCTACGTACCCTGTCGTAAGCCGTGAGGTCCTGTTCCTTCCCTAGCAAAGCCCTGAATTTATCTTCCCCCCAAATCACCGCTCCTTGGTTCTTTTCTTTCACATCACAGAAAAGCAACATCTCTTGAGAGCGTTGGGTTAAATGTTGGAACGTAAAGAGATGTGACTGGTGCCTCCCTTCGTGGGGTTCCAGTGTAGGATGGAAAGCAGAAAATGTACATCAAAAGCAGAAATACAGAGGGACCGCTATTTAAGCCACGTCTCTTGAAGTCACTGCCCCTGTCCCGGAAGCACGCACGGAAGCGTTCACGAATCACTCTGCAGAGGGTAGCTGTCTCCACAGTGAACGAGCATAAAGTGAGGGTTTAGGATATATTCGCCATTCACTGTGTCATTGGGGAACTGTCACTCTTCCCTTGCCCAAACCTACCTTCAAATTTCTTGGTCATAGACTTCACTGTTTACTCTTGCCTTTCTGTCCTCTCCTTACCCCTAGATTTGTCACACCCAGCTCACTGGGCATGGAACCACCCTCCAGTAAGACCCCTTCTGGTTAAAACTGTCCCCCTGAGGCTCTCCCAGCTTAAATCCTGGCTTCCCGACTGAGCTGTGCGAGTCTAGGAACTCGGGAACATACCAACAGTGTGGAAACGCTGGCAACCGTTCAGTTCTGAGCTCAGGACACCTTTTTCTGTATTCGGCCAGTAAGCTAGGAACAGGAAACACGTCCCAGACCAAAGAGAGAATGGACGCTCTAAAACTCAAGGGTGAGAACAGATGAAAACAAACTCCAGGAAGACAACAGGTCACTGAAACAGAGCTGTCTGTTCCCATCAGCAGGTGAGGAAGCCCCCCCAACGCTTTAGCTGGCCCTCCTCGATGCCCCATGAATCCCTCCTCCATGTGGCTGAGACATGGCTCTCTTCTCTCTTTCTATCCGGCAAGTAACCAGGGCTGTGGTATCTGTTTCTTTCCTTATGTCAAACATACCTCGAGTGCGGGAACCATGTTTATTTTGCAACTCCCCACGTCTACTTGGCCCCACTTGGGGGCGGGATGGGAAATGTCTTCCTTATGCAGAAAGGCAGGAAGCATTCTGGCTAGAGGTGTCCACAGCTCCAACATATGGGAATCCAGGATAAGCCAAGGAAGCGGGCCAAACCACAAGTTGCTGAGAACCGGGGTAAATTTTGTCAGAGCAGACAGATATAGGAAGCAGTCGGGACAGTGAAACATCAGGAGAACTGGGCAGGGGCCAAAAGTTTGAGAAAAGCATGTGGTCATTGATTCACAGATGCCTGGAGACCATGAGGACCTTAAAGGTCGTATGGGGGTGCCTGGCGGCTTAGTCGATTAAGTGTCTGACTCTTGACTTCAGCTCAGGTCATGATCTCACAGTTTGTGGGTTCAAGCCCCATGTCAGGGCTCTGCAATGATGGTGTGGAGCTTGCTCCCGACTCTCTCTCTGTCTCTGTCTCTCTCTCTCTCTGCCCCTGCTCAGGTGTCTTCTCTCTCTCTCTCAAAATAAATAAATAAACTTTTTTTAAAAAGGTCATGTGACATAATTGAGACCCTATGAGCTTAAGAAACAGGACTTGAACTTCCCTCCATCCTCACGTGATAAGAACAAGTAGGGCTTGGTTTTCAGAGGAGTACTGGGATAGTAGGCAGAGGAAGAAAGACTTAGGAACTTAGAAACCAGAAAGCTGGGTACAAGTAGTGTTCAAGGTTAACCTTGCTCCTAAGGTATAAGGAAAGAATCAGTTACGAAACCAAATAAAAAGTCAGCACAGCAAGGTCTTACCAAATACATCACTAGGCCAAATGAAGACAAGCAGAAATATTTTGGGAATGGATGGATGGATGATTAAAAGGAATTTAAGATTCTAGACCATCTGTATACAAGGCTAGAACTCCTCAAATTCTTGCCTGCCAGGAATCAGATTGGTTCCAGATTCCTGACATTCTAGGTGAGGACAAAGTGGCCCCTATTGTGGAGATTCTCCATGCCATGGGGTCAAAGGATGCACCAGAACACGGCACAGCTTACAGTTAGAGGAAATAGCATGGGTGTCAACACACAGAGGAAGGAACTGAAGGCTATGTCATCCCAGGTTTACCTCAAGCTAGAAAGATTGGTAGCTTGGTCTTATATTCACCCTCTCAACCCAACCGACGGCCCATACCAACTCATCAGCCATGTGCGTGCGCCATCTTGAAAGTGGGTCCTTCAGCCCTCAGTCAAGGAACTGTAGCAAAGGCCAAGTCAGTCGAACAGAGATGAGCTGTGCCCTCCAGGCACTGCCCAAGCTACCAAAATGAACAAATAAATTAATTTGTTGATTTCGGCCACAACATTTTGGGATGGTCTGATACACAACAATAGACACCCCCAACTATCCTGTTGTTCCTTCTCCCTCATCATTTCTTACATGTGCCCCTTCCTCTTCATCTCTCTTGCCACTCGCTTCTTTCAGGTCCTCATCATGTCTGACTGCAACGGATTCTAACTAGTTTCCTGTCTTCTGCTTCCTTTCTTTTCCACCCCCCGCTTCCCAAAGGCATACCCTCCGTCTCTTCTGCCGAGCAATTTTTCTAAAACGTCCATCTGCTAGAAATCCTCCACTGGCTTCCCGTGGCCATCAGAATAGAAGAGAATATTCCTTACTGGGTGTGTAAGGGCTTCTAATGTCTAGGGTCCCGCCCACTCATTCAAGTTTCAAAACATCCCCCTCCTTCACCGCCCTCTACAGTCATGTTGACCTACTTAAATTCCCCGAATGGGCCACGCATTCTTCCGTTTCTGTGCATTTGAAGACGCTCCCCCCCCCACTTCGAATGCCTTTGCACCACACATGCCCGGCCCGCAACGCCAGGTAGAAAACACTGAGCTCAGGCACCCCCATTTCTTGAGAACTTTTGTTCACCTCTCTCCACCTCCCTTTCTCTGCCTTCTCACTGCCGCACCAGGAGGGGTGACTTCTCTGTGGTCCCACCCACAGAGCCCTCTGCGTGCCTCTTCTCAGAGCTCACAGCACTGCTCTCTGTGTATACAGACCTTCCTGCCTCCACCCTATCATTTCGGGCTCCTCAGTGGTGGGAACAGCATATATCTGAATCCCCAAAGCACGGAACGTTGTCTGAACAGCCCAAGTACGTACAACTCAGAATATTTTGTTGAGCAGATGATTGCAAGTCATTGCGGAGGACACGTGACATTTGTTTTCCAGGCTCCGCGTTCTCCCGTGCTGGAAACTTCACTTCGGCGTCCTCTGGAAAACCACTAATGCTGCCGCCTGCTTATGAGGTTTGCATGAGGCCGAGTCCCCCTCTGACTGCAAGAGTCAGTTCACGGAGGCTCAAGCCAATCACTGTTTTCTATTCCCTTGCCCCACGATTGCTTCTGAGAGGCCTGAGAAAACTGAAGCTTAAAAGCTTAAGTTACGGGAAACTGAAAAACCTAACCAAGCCTAACCAGCTTGTTCCCTTCTGTACAATTGCTTGGCGCGCCCGTGTATTCCTGATCAGTCATTGTGATACCCGTACCCCCGGTTGTGGTCTGACCTAAAGGCAGGAACCAATCGAATACTGCTAAGTGTCCAACTTTAAACACCAGCCAATCGCAGCTCTGTAACTGTGGAAAATTCCTGATTTCCCCATGACTTGTTTGTACCTGTCTATAAAAGGGGTGTAAAAACCTCTCTCGGGGCCTCTTAGCATCACCGGCAACGAGCGCGCAGAGGTCCAGGTTCGAACCTGCAATAAATGACCCTTGCTGCTTAGCTTTGACTCTGGACTCTGGTGGTTCGTTTTTGGGGGTCTCTTAGACTCTGGGCGTTTCACTTCAGGGTTGGGGATTTAACCCTGGAGGAGCCAAGAGGACATGAAGACACTTGGCTGAGGCTTCTGGAAAGAGACGCTTGCGCTCTTTATTAAATTGGCGTTCCAAAAGGGCGAGGCTGGCTGTGGCGTTCCCCTGCCACATCTTGTAACCAGGATGGGGAAACCAGGGCTTCCGGGAACTGGGGTCAGGAATTGGCACTGTAAACACCTGAAAAAAGGAGCCAGCCTAGGAGAAGCGCTACAGAGAGGAGAATCCTGCCACACCGCTTCCTCTGTCAGTCAGGCCAATCAGAAGCCATACCCAACGGGATATCTCAGTTGTGGGAAACTATTTCATGCTATTATCTCAAAAGCTAGGGTGCCTGGGGGGGGGGGGCTCAGTCGATTGGGCGGGCGTCAGACTCAATTTCAGCTCAGGTCACGATCCCAGGGTTGTGGGATCGAGCCCCGAGTCGAGTCTCGTGTCCGGCTTCTCGCCGAGCATGGAGCCTGCTTGAGATGCTCTCTCCCTCTCCCTCTGCCCCTCTCCCTCGCTCGTGCTCTCTCTCTCTCTCTCTCAAAATTTTTTTAAAAAACTCAAAAACTGTTCAGCTTCACGTATCATCGTTTCTTTGTGTTTGCTTCCTGACTAGATTGTCTGCTCTATTGGGTCTTCTCCGGCAGAACGCGCGTCTGTAGAGGACGCTCGGTATGTACTTGAGATATTGATTGTGCGGAAATAAACGGAGATCAAACGAGAACAAGCACAGGTGATTTATTCAGAACTTGCCAGAGCAAGGAACTCCGCTATCATCACGTGAGTTTTGGCAGACTCACGGCAGGCAGAGAGTAGGAAAGCCTTACCGTGGAAGAAAAGGGAAGCATCCGATGGGCCCTGCTTGGAGGCTGTTGACAGTCGGAAGCTAGAGCAGGCTAACTGGGAGCAGGGCATTTGGTGCGATTGGTTAGGGGTCATATTTGGCTTTCTCTGGTTGGTCCTAAGTTGGAAGCAGAGACAAGAATTAGGGAAGCTGTCAGTTACTAATTAAGTCTTGGCCATTTTGGACCAATCTGGACAGAGGGACTGTTTCTTTTCCTGAAACTGCTACTAGACCCAATAGTCTGACCTCCCACAAGCCTGAGAGCAGGCTGGTTCCTGGGCTGGTTGCTGAAGGCTTGGGAGTCAGTTTTATGTTTACATCTGGTCTGGCCATTGTTCGTTTGTGCATCTCGTCTATTGTTGGATCCTTTCTCTGACCTACCTCAAGAGACAGACTTTTCCAGAACAGTTGGAAATTGTTATCTTTATTGCTAAAACTTAAACAAGAATGTGTCTACCATTTTTAATGCTCAGGGTTGGCTCAAATCCAATCTGGATTTGGAGCATCAGATCCAATCTGTGGTGATATTTAAGACAAGCTCGAAAAGAGAGAAACAACTGGGCCCACGTAAACGAGACAATGATGAATTGGATGCCGTACCTAGCGGTAAACAAAATAAGCTAGAAAGGCATTTCTCTACCTGTGTGGTGGCTTCAGGAGAAGCTGAAAAGTTCCCGAGGATTAAGACTGTCAAGTTTCCCTTACGCGGCAGAAATTCTATAGAATTACTGGTACATTTCACATATTAAATAACATACCAAGTATGGATATAACCTAAGTGCAGCCACATGTCCAGAGCTATAAAGTATATTTTTAGGCTTGAAGGGACTTGCAAAGTGCGCAACAAATTTTTTAACGAAAAAAGTAATAAGATTCCAGGGTAAGTTTAATCTTTGTAAAAATCCCCCTTTTCACCGTAGACACTTTGTCGGTAAGAAAGCCTCCTGGTAATCAGGTTCACGATGATACTGCGACATTTTCACAGTATATGTTCATAAACTTTAATTACTGGAATTAAAAGAAAGCAGCACATATGGTAAGACTATCTTGAAATGTAAAGCGACAGATGTCTATAAATATTAAAATTCTGTAATTATCAGTCTAGTTCATTAATTATCTGCCTTCGGATCATAAAAATAGGAACAATACTGATCACAAACATTCAGTCATTTAATGAATAACGCCTTCTAGGAGGAAAATAAGACGTGGTAAGCTGAGAGGCCTTTTTGGGGTACTATTTTACGTTTAATAATCATGCAGTCAGAGGTATTGTGTTGACTCTTTGTACACTTTCGTGGTGTGGATATCGCAAACCAGGTCTCAATTTGGATTTAACTATATAAATTTCCTCCATATTGTTTTTTCTG